AGGCGTGACTTGAGGTCGAACGGCGAAGATCCACGACGAAATCGGCCACTCGTGGATCACGGGTTTCGGGTCTAACAATATGTATCTATATCCCTGTTCCTGGTTCCACACAACTTTATTACACAGCTATCTTATTAAGAATAACAATTACAATAATATTTTTTCAAATAGAAAATATAACTTTAAGTAGTCAAGTCATAAATCCACTCTTCCTAAATGCAACACCTTCTAAATGCAACACCTTCTAAATGCAACACCTTCTAAATGCATGATATAAACCCGAACCCATGATGGAAATTATGGATAAATGCACATTCTTTATTCTGTAAGTGCATACTAATTGTCTGACCCACATATAAAAACTCCTTTAATAAATGCCTTCACATGATTACTAATCAATCAAATTCATTATTTCTAGCCTAATAAAGCCATAATAATGATTACATTGAGGTTTTATTAGCGTTCTCTAATTGCAATCCTCCCTAAATGCACTCTCTAGAGCTGGTCCCGACGACGTGCATTTAAGGAGATCTAACTGTATTTAATTTGACTATACTATACATTACACTTCATAATTATATTATAACATAATTATTATTTATTATACAATAATATAGAATTAAATAAAATAATTATTAGATTGTTTTTAAAGTCAAGAAATGTTTTATTTTAAAAAAATTGATCTATTTCTATTTACTTATTTCATGTATGAATATTTTAAATTAAAATTGCCAAAATGACGACTATTATATGAGTACACTAAAATCATCTAACAAATCAGAAAAAATCCAAACACCAAATCTTATAGTCTTATATAACTGTTTTTGTAAACATTTTGTTCAACATAATCCAAATTTTATAACTTGTGTAATAAATAATTTTATGTTCATAAGTAGTCACAAAATCTATTGTAAAATACTGGTATTTTCATTTGGTTATGACAAAATAATTTTAAATTAATGGCGTAAAATGATTTTGAAAAAAAGGTTACATATGCACATCTAATAAATTAAGAAACACGTCGACTGCCAATATGATATACATCGCGATCATCAAACTAGTAAAATCAAACATTAATTAGGGCCGCATATGATAAATATTTTTTGACAACCCGAATTTACTGCGGATAATATCAATTTTCAGTACGTTTTTCTCCCGAACTAGTATAATAATCAATAGCCTAATTTTTTTTAAAAGATAGAGCAAATTGTATACTTTAATGTAATAGAGCCATTTTTTCGAATTATACTATTTTATAAGTTGTAAATTCCTTAACTATGTAAAATAAACTTTATCAAAATTTGACAAACATAAAGTTAATGAAAATTGTAAAACTGAGCCTATTGTTGAAAAGAGAACAATAAAGTTATCGATTAAAAAAAATAAATACATAAAAAATCATATTCTTCGCTCAAAAAGTGTACATTTAGTAGTTATTTTAAAAAGAATCTACGGTATTTTGCGAAAACAATCTGTATAGTTAAATTTCCGAAAATTCAGAAATTATCAAAATAACCGATAAAAAATTCTCAATAACATATTATTATGATTCGATTTACACTGATTTTATAATCACCCCATCTCTGCATGATTTACGCACTGATCCGTTAGTTACGCATCACAAGATGCAGTAATTTTACGTTTTTACGTAACCTTGTATAAGATTTGGTAGCCATTTAAGAGTTACAATTCGGATCGTACACTCAACTCAAACGATACAATAATGCAGGTAGTGCGGTTGTAAATCCGATATTTATGCATAATGTGTATGAAATTTAGTTTTCTGATACATAAAATTACATAGAATGTAAAATTGAAAATTGTAATTTATGTAACACAACTCAGTGCATAAACTGTTGACAAATTGCATAAACATACCAGTACTTTACTGAAGTTAACCAATAAAACTAAATGAACTAAAGAAGTTCTCATACATTTAAATTAATAGGTCAGTCAATTTTTAATTTTTTGTAAGTAGAAAATATAAATCAGCAAAATTGCCGTAAGGATTACTTCAATTAACAGCTAATCGTAACGCTTCTGCAAGGTTTCGATTCGATCATTATCTTGTCAAATTTTACATACATTCTTTAATATTAATTCGTTAAAAAATTTTAAATACATTATTTAATAAATTTTAAATGATAACGAAATGGGATGTTACTCTTCTAAATTAAACGAAAAAACCAAGTCTACAGATTCACAAAGTATACAACCTGAATTTCAGGCAGAATTCCGATACACTAATGGTAGAAGATTTCATAATCTGGAGAATGCTGTATATCCCTTACCAAATGATGATGATGAATTAGACAGACTACATTTACAACATTTCATGATGAGATATATCTGGCAGAGTAACTTTTCTGCCCCCATCAAACATATTTTATCTTCTCCAAGAACAAAAATCCTTGATATTGGGTATGTAATTGTACTTGATAAATATAATTGATCCATAGTACTCATTTATTTGAATTCATGTATTGTAATAAAATTATTACAATAAAATTATTACAATAAAACTCAAAACGATGGCAATTGGATCCTCTCAATTTTTGGTTAAGAAATTTATTAAATTCAAGTTATTCAACTTTTATCATGAAATGTAATTGATTTCTTTAATTATAACATTAAGTGTAATTGATTCATTTAATTATTACATATACTCTATTAACCATTTTATTCGTAATAATAATACCCCGCAGTAATAAAGTAATTATATCTGGCTAACAAACAAACAATTCCATTTATTTTTTATCTTAGGTGTGGTGCAGGGTCATGGTCATTTGATATGGCATCCACGTACGTGTTTTGATCTTTTACACAAATCTGAAATATAATATAACCAAAGATAATTATGTATGTCTGTATTTAATTTTTACTACAATTATTAATCATCTTTATAATATTTTCTTAGATATCATTTGGTTGAGGTTATTGGATTAGATATGTCCCCACTTCAGCCGACACACATAAAACCTAAAAACTTCAAATTCGTTAAAGCAAATGCTTTGGAAGGATTACCATTCAATGATAACACTTTTGATTTTGTATTTCAACGATATATGTTCACCGGATGTACCAAGGAGAAATGGCCATACTTAATAAATGAGATAGTTAGAGTTTTAAAGCCCGGTGGATTCTTAGAAGTATGTTTGATTGAAATCTTAATATTTTAGTTCGTTTTATGTTTTAAAAATAACGTGTTTATTAATTTGAAAAAAGTTGAGCGAGCCTTCTAAAATGTTTGATTTAGGGCCAGCAACTCAACGTTTATTTAATAGTCGTATGTTTTGTTAAAATTATCTGATAAAGTTATTTAATAACTTTATCTCCTTACTTATATACTTTTTTGGTAAAATAAATAATTATAAAGAAATAGAATTATTAGACCGACGAGGCCTAGATAGTGATATATTTCAAAAGTTAGAAGACTATTTACAAAACCAAGGTTTTCTTTTTTATCTAATTGCATATTATAATTTATTTATAGATACTGTAAATCTTAATTAAAATTTTACAATATTTTCTTAACTAGGTCAATTAGAAAATATTAAGAAAGAAATAAAACAATGCTACCATGGTGTAAAGTCTGAAAATATTAAACTTAGTAAAGTGGTAATGTATTATACAAAATTTATTATTTCATGTTTTAAAAAAATTATTTTAATGATATTAAATTAACAGATTGTCGATAATATGGTTACCGCATATGAAAGTTTTAAACCCGCTTTATTAGAAATATTACAAATTTCTGACAAAGAATTCGATGAGTTGGCTAAAAAATCAAGAAAAGAACTATATGATTTTGATTCTTATAATTATTTAGTCCGTATTTATGCAAGTAAAATTATTGATAATCGTAATAGTTAAGCTAAAATAGTGACTAGTGAAAATTCATATCGATATGATATTTATATTTATTAATATTATTATTTATTTTATATCTATTTAAGTATTTACTTTATGCTGTATAAAATTCATTAATGGAAATTCTTGAACGATCATTAGCATATGCACATCGGTTAAGATTAAATAAAATAACTTTTTTTCGAGACGAAATTTAAGACTGGAAACTTGAATATTAAAAATACCACTTTAGCTCGTGACAATATCTACGACATTTTCAATATACTGTTTTCTCTTCAATATTAATGAGATTTTTTTTTATAAACTAAGGTAAACATACCTATTAATCTTATTCCCCTGACCAAAAAATGTGTTGATGTTATAAACTTACATGATGACACTTAGCGTATAAATTAGTCGAGTTATTCATAGTGATAATATAAATAATAGTCGTATAATTTAATTTTAAAATTTTAAAAAATAAATATGTAAACAAAAGGCAATTATTCAGGAGCTTGTATAATACAAAGCGAAAATCTTAATAAAATAAGGGAAACAATTGGCGCTTGTTAAAAGTGTCGTACTAAACGAAAAAGACCTTTAGATCTTTAGATTAAATACACACAAATCAAGAAACTGAACACAGGTATGAATCGTTCGTGTATCAAAAAAAATAAAACCTCCCAATGAACAAAACGGTAGATCATGAATACCAGAGCGAAATTTATAAACTTATAAAAAAAAAAAAATCCATATGAAAGCATGAGAATGAAAGTCTATAAGTGAATACTTATTAAGTCTTCACTATAACGAAGCTAGCTCCTGAGAAATTAGATATAATTTTCAGAAGCTAAGTTTGTCACAATAAAATTTAATCGTCTTTCATTCTCAAGTACTCATATAGTTCAGATAAATAATTTCATAAATTTCACTTTGGGAGTTCTCTACTTGTTATTTTGTTCTTGTTATTTTGTTCTTGTTATTTTGTTCTTGTTTTTTCTTGTTTAGCTCATGTTTAAAAGAGTTTTTTTAAATTTTCACTATTTCTCAAGTTTCATCAAGTTTCATAAATGCCATCAATTTCGGAGCTTCTTTTTCTTTCTTCTCTGGTACCTACGCTTCTTATTTCTTCGTTCCCAGCATCATGGTCGTTGCTGTAGTTCAGTTGTTGGATGACCACTGAAGACGTAAATCATTCACTTGTTAATATAATTCTGAAAGGACAGTGAAAAACATGATCTTGTTGCTGGAAATGGGTGTCAAAAAAAAACAATAAAGAAAAAAAATATCAGAAATTCACTGGACAGAGCAATCTTGGATATTGTAATCATCAAGAATTTAAGTTGAGAATTATGAGAAAAAATTCATCAAAGTATATAATGTTGGGATTTGTTATCTTAATGGAGTTGGAGTTGAAAAGGACCAGAGTATATAATGTTGGAATTTTCCATCTTAATGGATTTGGGGTTAAAAAGGATGAACATAAAGAAAGGAATTCGTTTATTATAAACAATTAGCAGAGATGGAAAACGCTAAACAACATATCATGCTGGAAACTGTTATCAATATGAAAGTTGAGTTGAAAAGACACATACAAGGCATTCATTAATTATCGAAAACCAGCAAGAATGAGGAATATATAACGTTTGTTATTGGTATCTTAATGGAATTGGAGTCGAAAGGATAAATATGAGGCATTCATTTATTGTTGAAAATCAGCAGTAATGAGGAGCGCTAGTGGAGCATTCGTGCTTGACGACTGTTACCTTTATGGAATTTGGTTGAAAAGGATGTCGAAAACCAGCAATCATGAAAGCCACTAGCGGAACATGTAACGTTGGATATTGTTATCTTAATCGAATTAGAGTCAAAAGCAGGGATGGGAGATGCCAAGAGAACATATCATGTTGAAAATTGTTGTTACATTGAACTGGTGTTGAAAAGCGTCTATTAATTATAAAAGATCAGCAAAGATAGAATTAAAAAGATGAATATGCAGTAAGGCATTCATTTATCATCAAATATCTATAGAAATAAGAGATGCTAGCGGAATATACAGTCAGGATCTTATTAACAACATGAATTTTGAGTTGAAAAGGATGAACATAATGTATTCATCTTTTACCAAAAACCTGCAAAGATGTGAATCGCTAATAAAACGATATAATGTTTGAGATGAACATTAGGCATTCATTTATTACTGGGAATCAGAAACAGATATAAGTCCAGAGCATAAATATATAAAGTATTATATAAATAAATTAATGAATTTCGTATTATTAATAGGGATGTTAAAAGTTCGGTTCGGTCCTGTTCGGTCCTGTTTCATAAAAGTTCAAGTTCAGAAACAGTTCGAAAA